TACTGCGGTTTACATTTCTGAGCGTTTTTCTCTGTTTTGCCTGCCTGTTGTGACCCTGTCTGTACCTCGTTTATGATACTCTGCTACCTGCCTTCTGGATTATCCGCCTTGTCTCTGAGTTGTGATTCATTGCCACGTGCCCCGACTTTTAGCCTGTTTACTGACAACGATTGTGTTTACCCCCCGTCACTGTGTTTGCTGGTATGTGACCATTGCCTGTTTGACCACGATTGCAATAAAGCCTGCTTATGGATCCCACTTCGAGTGACGCTTCGTTACAAACAAAAACTAAAAACGAATAAAATACAACAAACTTTGTCGTTGCCAATGCAATGTCTAATTTTCATTTAGTTTAAACTGAAAACAACAACAAACAACTAATAAAATATAACAAACTTAAACATTTCTAATTTTCATTTAGTTTAAGTTGAAGCGCTCAAACTAAAACCTGAACCAAAAAAAATAAAAAAAATAATACAAATAAAAAACTATATAGACATAATAACAAAAACTAAAAACGAATAAAATATAACAAACTAAGACTTATTTAATTTAGTTGCCAATGCACAGACTGAACGGGTTGTCAACACATCCCACCGCTGTAAGGCCAGATGAGACGCAAACTACGTTTTCTCGACTGGTCAGTCTCGCTAGTAAAGTTTTGATGGATGAAGACTGCAATCAAGGTAAAGATGATTGCGGTGGCGTACAGGAGTCGTACAGTAAGCACGCGTCCGTTATAATGCGTGTATGCGTGCTCTTGACGCACTGATCGCACATTGTATTTATGCACAGGCACAGACATTTCCGTACATTCACGTTGTTTCCACACACATTCAAGATAATGTTTTGATTTGCCATGTTTATGTTGCTGTGTTTGGTTGTACGGAATGGATCCATGTACTTTTGGCATCTCCGGTTCGGTATCGCAACTTGGCTTCTCTAAAATGTAAAAAAGCTCTTTGCTGTTGCACCTGTTGCACTGTATAAAATTCTGATTTTTTTTATTTCATATGTGCTTATATGGGCTCCTTATATCATTTGGTTCTTTGGTGTCCTTTTGGAGTTTCTAAGTGTCCTTTTTTGGAAAGTCATCTAAATTTATCTTGAAAAAAGCTTGCAGAAAACAGATTTTTGAGAATCACCCTTCAATATTTTGGTTTACTTTGCTGGATATATTACAAATGATGATAAAATAAACATTTGAAACAAGATAAATGGTCTATGCTTAATTTCAT